GCCACATTCCATGTCTCTGCAGGGCCAGCCTCCTGCCCAGGGCCACTGTAGTAGGCAGAAAGGGGAAGGTGTAGGTTTCAGTCCTGCTCAGCCACTAACTTACCGTATGAATGTGGGAACATTAGTCTCCAAGCTTTAGTTTCTTCCATTTATAAAATGACTGTCAGGGTTATTCCTCACTAAGTTGTAATAACCAATGAGGTAAAGTATAAAAAGTGCTTGGCATTGTAAGTGTTCAATAAACGTGACCATCCCTTGGAGGCTTCTCTCCTCTTATCCAGCAGAGAATTATCTGCCCTCCACAATGACCAAGTTTTCTTTACACCTTCAACTGTGTTCTTAGAAATAAGCTTTACCTCAAACTGTGTCTTAGGCGGAATTTCTGTCCATGTGTGTGAAACTTGGTAGTCTCCAGATACTCTGCTTTGTTGTCATTTCCGAGAGGACCTGAGAAGCCAGCGGGTGCTACATTTATGTGCTGAGGTTGGGTGGCTGCAGATCAACCTGGTTGTCATGCCAAGTTGTATACGCCTGCAAGACAGAAGAACCTTAAGAATTCTCTGGGTTGCTTATTGTGAAGCACAATGACTTATTTGCAGAGAGGTATTTACATTGTAATTTCAAGGACTGACATGTAAAATCTAACTGAGCCTTGTCCTTGATCCCTCCTGGGCGATATACAAGACGGAGAGTCTAACACCCTTGTGGGAATTCAAACATGTCATACTCACTGACAGGCAATCATGACTTTAATGAGGGCAGAAGAATTTAATTCAATAAAAAGCCTATTAGAATTGACAGTACAAATGTAAACAGGTCCCTGATGAATAATTTTGCTGGGCCTTCTCCGCTGCCGTATTTGTTGATCTATACCATAATCAGACGTGGAAGGCAGATGCTCAGGTCTACTCCAGCCGGACGGAATTGACGCATTCCTCTTTCTTCAACCTGTGCTGTAGGACAACATTCACTTTAAAACCGCGGACTCTGTCATTGGGGGTAGTTTCATGAAAATGACATTTTTGTCTCATTTTTAGGACAGGAGGGATCCTGTGATGACTGGAGATAGATATTACTAGGGATTATTTTTT